TGTATACAGTACAACACTCAATCTATACCATAGAAAACCGTTCGGATCAGATGACGCAGTTTAGTGACTTATCAAACTCAATTCAAACGCTGTGATGTTCGCCTGCTTTATTTTCTTTTACGCTGATTTAAGTAGACAACGGAATCTGAGATCTAAATCCTCAAACAAGCTTGTCTACATTTTGTGCTTCTGTTATTATGCATCAGCGTGTTTTCATCAACCGTGATCCATTATATTCCAGCTCAGAGATACTGTATTTGTTGCACTCGGTTTAACTCGAGGAAACAAATTATGAAGTCACATCAATTGGATGCAAAACTACTGCTAAGAAGTAAAAAAAAAGGGAAACATGAACGTAAAAACCCGGAAAATTTCGTGCTATGTTTCATTGAGCACAAAATAATGCAAAGAAAAGTTGCCCGAATACGGCGAGTGGAGGTACAACATTTACACACAAAGGAGTTGAATGTGATCACTGCCAAAATAATTCTGCGTGCACCACATTTAGATGTCTATATTATGAATACAAAGGTCATTAGAGTACCTTGCAACATACAATACAGTACTCGTACAGACTCAGCGAAGTATATTCCGTTGAAATTGTGTGTTCCAAAAGAAGACCTTAACGTGGGATGAATTTAAAATAATTGCATTGAAAATTCCCCAAGTCTATGAGAACAGAGAAGTCGTTGTGTCACTAATCCGGAAGTGAGAATCGTTGGAATTTCGAAGAAAAGAAAGCACAAATGGGTTGTCGTGTCTGAATGCGAAAAAGGCATCTTTAATTGCCAACCAGAAGCACACAAAAAAAAACAACATGCGTTCAAATAATCACTCAAAACCTGTACAGTAAAGCAAATGAACCTCGATTAAACACAAAGATCGAGGCAACATGAATTCGGCACCATTATCTTCTATCCTCCGAAAATTGAGAACGAAGATTCAAGTTCTAACGTTGTCTTGTCTTCAAGGAAAAAATTCGATCCAAATGTCCCAAAAAAAAAACTGAGTTTTAGTTACGATTTCGAAGTATTGTAAAAACAATAAACCAAAAGCTTCGAAGCCGAATCGACATGGTTTAAATAGCGTCCCTTACAATCGAAAACTTCTTGCGATGGCGGTTCACTGCAAATTCTCTAATTAAAAAAAGAAAAAGAAAACTGATACTACTTCGTCTCGCTGAAACCGGAAAAATTTCCCGATCTCTTAATAAAAAAAAAGCGAGACAAAAAGGGATCGATCGTCAGTCCTGACACATCTGACGTTGCTACTAATTCAAATACTGACCCCGCGATACCAACTTTAAAAAAAAGAGAGAGAGAGAGACGGCGGAACAATCCGAAACAAACAAACAAACACGTCGATCGGATTCAAGCTCCCGAATCCGCCTTAAAGGGGCGGAACAACGTGGGCTTCTTCATCGGCGCGATGGCGGTCGTCGTCGTCGTTGAACTCTCCCTGGCTGCTGTCGTTTGTGGCGTCGGCACTGGTGGCGGCGACACACTCTCCTCATCACGTTTACGTTTTCCCAGCAACTGTGGCGGCGGGGATCTCTGTTCCATCATTCCAGAACCCGGAAACCCCAGAAACAGCGTCGGCACTGGTGGCGGCGACACACTCTCCTCATCACGTTTACGTTTTCCCAGCAACTGTGGCGGCGGGGATCTCTGGTCCATCATCCCAGAACCCGGAAACCCCAGAAACTGGGGCTTGAACGCCGCGGACAGATCGGAGGCGGCTGCTGCCGCCGCGAATAACGACGACTGCGGGTGAGGTGGCGGCACAGGACCAGCTCTGAGAGCCGGTGACGGGTACGGGGCGAATCGCGGGGCATACGCAGCTGCTAGTGGGTTCGGGCCGTAGGGTCCCATGAATGGGAATGGGCCAGCGGGTGCTGGTGGGTACGGATACGAAGCCACGGCCTGAAGGACGTACGAGGCGAATGCCGGGTCCGCGGGCCAGTTGAGCGAGAGTCGCTGGCGCTTGTCTTTCATGCGACGATTCTGGAACCACACCTGATGAAAGATAAAACAAACAAAACCATGGTTAATTAACGTGCTAATTATCGTCAACATCCATCGATTACCAAACAAATACAGTTATTCAAATTGCCCTTCTCATACTGAACTCGAGTTCCTGAGAAAAGAAAACTCGCGCACTGTACCTCTTCCTAAGTAGAGGTACAGTATATGATTTCTCGGTATCAACGCAATCGTCTTTTTAAAAAAAAAATTTAAAGACATTTAAATAAATGACAAAAGACCCGGAATTTTTTTCACTGGTGTAATACACTAATTCAATCAAGAAAATTCCTCTTCGCCTCTGAACAAACTGGGTGTGAAGCAGGCGGTGTCTTATTTCCGACGGCATCTTTAACATCACAGCAAATACTGTAGGGTATTTATCTTATTTAAAAAAAACCATGATCAACTAATATGATACAAATTGTCCAAACTGTATTGATAGGTTTTGGAAGAATCACGTAGACCATTGCGCCAATAAATGGACTCGGAATCCGGAAACTATTTAGCCAGATATTTATCCAATTGTTTAGTTGATGACTTGAAGCAATTCCTGGACCAACCACGCACTTCTGGGGCATTTGAAAGACTTGAAAAGGGGTCTCTTCGACATTAAACGGAAAGATTTTCAAGCTCCTATTCCTGCCATGCATTCCCAAGATCTTTCATTCGGGGTCACAGAGCGCGTTTCTCAACCTGAAATTTCCCTTGACCTTATCTAGATCAAGAAAGGTCAACCCAGTAAACGCTGGATTAAAAAAAAAAAAAAAGCGCTCCATAAAACCCCCTCATTTCGAAGAAATGCCGTTCGTTGCAAACAGAAGCCCCGCGAAACAAATTCGTCTCGCTCACCGCCAAATGTCGACACCAAGGGGGGGATTCCGTGTTGAAATTTGACTGATGGAATAGCATGATTGATGGGCCGGCCCATTAGGGGCCGTCATATTTGTCGAAAACCCGCGAAACGAATCACGGCGGCGCCGATTGAATAGCCCGCAAGAACAAAACGGGAGGGGAAAAGAAAAAAAAACATGGAGAAAAACGTTAGAAATCCGCCCACAACCGAACGGCGTGGGAATCAGACAGTCACGGTCGCATCTTCGCTCGAGTAAAAAGAACTGGGGGATTAACTTTTCCGGATTCTCTTCTAATGTCGCGACGAAAAACTAATGCGAAAGAAGATTTCATCCTTTGTGGTCTGAAAAATGACTGGGCGGGTCGGGATTCAACTCATTTTACGTCTAGACAGGGCTCTCAAATCATCCGATTCTCCAGGGGTCATCATTTACATCATACAAAGTCCGGGCGATTCCTTTCTTCACGCAATGGACCATTGATGGTTGAGAAACAGAAGCTCGCGATTTTCCTCATGCAAAAAAAAAAAAAAGCACATGTCCCTTCTCAAGCAAATTCAAACGCTCTGTGATGTTCGCCTACTTTATTTTCTTTTACGCTTAAAACGCTGATTCAAGTAGACAACGGAATCTGAGATCTAAATCCTCAAACAAGCTTGTCTACATTTTGTGCTTCTGTTATTATATGCATCAGCGTGTTTTCATCAACCGTGATCCCTTATTCCAGTTCAGAGATACAGTATTTGATGCTTCAGATTTACCTAGAGATAAGAAAAAACTTAAATTCACATGAACAATCTGATGAAAAATAACCTCTTGATAGTCATCTAGAAGTCAAACATAATTACGGAAATGAAACCGCAAAAACGAATAAAATATTGTCCCGAAGAATAAATAGCGCATGGAAGAATCATTCGAGAAAATATGACCGAAAAAAAATATGACGAGCAGATGATCGAAGCGTGGTTAATTACGATAATTGTGAAAATAATATTGCATGAATTTCGGAATACGACGGACATAGTCAAAAGGTATTATGATAAACTATGTCAAGGAATTAACTCGGACACACGCCGTAAAACCAGGAATTAAATTTGAAATGAAACCTTTTCCTACCGTTTGTTGGCACATCGATCATGAAATCGAATACTGTATGTCAAAAAGGAGTTTGAAAAGAATTACTCACATAGAATCTTAGATAAAGAAATCTCCTCGAAATATACCCTCCTGACACCAGTAATTTAAATACCGATGAAGTTTGAAAGGCAATTGCGCTTTCAAACTTTCAACAGAGGAGATATTCCTGAAGAGCTCAGAGAACTTTACAGTATATAGACCCTCTTAGCGAAGTACAATCTTGTTTGTTTCCTTCAAATTGTGTGTTCTAAAAGAAGACCTGAACGTGGAACAAATGTAAAAATACAATAATTACATTGAAATACAGCAAGCCAACGATAACGTAGAAGTTGTGGCGAACCCAATCCGTTCGTGTGACATCACTGAAATAAAAGGAACACTAGAATCTCCGAGGAAAGAAAACACAGACGGTTCTCATCTCTGAATACGAAAAGGCATTTTTATTTTCCAAAAAAAAAAAAACGCGTTCAAATAATCACTCAAAATCTGTACAGTAAAGCAAATGAAGCTCGATTCCACACAAAAAATCGAGACATCATGAATTCGGCACCATTCTCTTCTATCCTCAGAAAATTGAGAACGAAGACTGAACATATAACGTTGTCTTGTCTTCAAGGAAAAAAATGCGATCGAAATGTCCTACAAAACCTGAATTTTAGTCATGATTTCGACGGGCTGTAAAAAAAACAAAACAAACCAGTTCTGAAGCCAAATCGAAATGACGTTAACAAAGTCCCTTACTATTGATTTAAAAAGAATCTTCGCGTCCTCTTGAGTTTCCATTATAGTATTTAGAATCCTGATCCTTACTTCGCCTTGCTAAAACCGGAAAAAAAATTCTCGATCTTTCCACTAAAAATGAAAGCGGAAGACAAAAATCGATCGATCGATCGTCATCCCTGACACATCTTGCGCAGCTTCTAATTCAAATACTGACCCCGCAAAACCAAAAATCCGAAACAAACAAACAAACATGGTAATCGCAGATTCAAGCTCCGGAATCCGCCTTAAATGGGCGGAACAACGCGGGCTTCTTCATCGGCGCGATGGCGGTCGTCGTCGTCGTTGAACTCTCCCTCGGTGCTGTCGTTTGCGCGCAGCCGTGACCACCGCCGCTGTGTGAGAGGAGTAGTGCAAATGCAAAAGGGTCGTTGACACCGCCGCCCCTAGAGACCAGGTAGTAGGGTCTTGGGCCTTTGGGGTCTTTGACCCCGAACTTGCGAGCGGACAGGTCCGAGGCGGCTGCTGCCGCCGCGAATAACGACGACTGCGGGTGAGGTGGCGGCACAGGACCAGCTCTGAGAGCCGGTGACGGGTACGGGGCGAATCGTGGGCCATACGCAGCTGCTAGTGGGTTCGGGCCGTAGGGTCCCATGAATGGGAATGGGCCGGCGGGTGAGGGTGAGGTGGCGGCACAGGACCAGCTCTGAGAGCCGGTGACGGGTACGGGGCGAATCGTGGGCCATACGCAGCTGCTAGTGGGTTCGGGCCGTAGGGTCCCATGAATGGGAATGGGCCGGCGGGTGTTGGTGGGTACGGATATGAAGCCACGGCCTGAAGGACGTAGGAGGCGAATGCTGGGTCCGCGGGCCAGTTGAGCGAGAGTCGCTGGCGCTTGTCTTTCATGCGACGATTCTGGAACCACACCTGATGAAAGATAAAACAAACAAAACCATCGTTAATTAACGTGCTAATTATCGTCAACATCCATTGATTACCAAAAAATACAGTTATTCAAATTACCGTTCTCAGTTCCGGAGAAAAGAAAACTCGCATACTGTACCTCTTTCTAACTGGGTGTAGGACAATCCCTTCGATTCTAATCCCTCCCACCTCTATTCCCCCCGAATAATAATCCCTGATTTTAAAATCCCCGAAATTAAAATGCCCGATTTTTAAAATCCCCGCTTTTTGTTGAAATCCCTGATAATAAAAGTCCCCAATGTACAATTTCCCCTGAAAATAAAAAAACTGATGGTTGGAAATTTATTTTCTTATTTCTGAGTGACAAAAGTTGAATTTAACAAGTAATTGAATAACAATTAAAATAACATAAAAATAAAAAAACAGTCATCCGTTTTACGAGGAGTGCACTCCCATATGACTGACAACTTGTTTCTTCGTTTTATGGTGTATGAAAAACCATTTGAACACCCCTTCAGTTTCTTCTGCTGAGTTTTTGTTATCTCCATGATGAAACAGCAATGTACATGGATGACACAAAGAGAACAAAACACACTTCAAATAACTGAACTCAATTGTGACTGAACTAGTGAACTTGATGCTTACTTTTCTTGGAATGACTTGTCAATTCATGAGGACATTTATATACGGTCAAAGGATTTCAGGTTCTCTTACTCTTAGTTTTTTTAACCCGTAAAGTAATCAGTTCCGGTAACCAAGGATAAGTTTCCTTTCTTTAATTATTTTCTCTCCCAACAAAAAAAGAAAAAATTGAATCAAGAGGGAAAGTTTTGCAAAGAAAAGATTATCTGATCTTGTAGATAGATTTCCAAGCAGCATTAACCGCATTCCTGTTCTGGTCTCTAAAACCTGGTATATATTCGCAACTAAAAAAAAAAGAACTTTATCATTGCAGCATTGTCGCGTATACGAGTATATATGCTCACACTGTACTTGGTGGGAAAAAAGAACAGATTTCAATTCAAAGCCATGCATTTTACATCTGTGAAATTTTTTTTCCATTTTTGGTGATATTTTGCAATTTTGGGGATTTTGCATTTTTGTGGATTTTAGTGAGTGGATATTTTTATTTTCAGGCAATTAGACACCGGGGGGAATAAACGTCGGGATTTTAGGATCAGGGATTTTAGAGCAGGGTACCCAACCAAAAGCCCCCCTAGGTCAAAAGCCCCCCCCCCCCCCACCACTTTTTTATAATTGGATGCAAGTTTTATAAAAGTGCTTGGTGGCCCTGAGATGGGCTATTTGGTTTCATTAGTCCTCAAAAGGACTGTTTAATAATCATCTTCAAAATTGCCTTCTGCTGCCTCTTCCTCACAGTCACTGATGCTCTCCATGTCATTTTCTTCTAAATAACCATTGTAGTATGCAATTTGACCGCCCTTCTGATCATTGATGATCTGAAGTGCACCAGCCATTAGATCAACAAGGTGAACTGTAGATTTTGCAGAAGTCAGCAAGTGATGATGCTTTGACATTATATTCAAAGAATCACTGATGACCACTGCAGGTGAGGAATCCCTTTATATACTCAACTTACAAACATATTGGTACTTGGCCTTGATGTAGATTTTGCAGAAGTCAGCAAGTGATGATGCTTTGACATTATATTCAAAGAATCACTGATGACCACTGCAGGTGAGGAATCCCTTCATATACTCAACTTACAAACATATTGGTACTTGGCCTTGTGCTGGGCCTGCTGGTGAAAGGTGCAGCTTACTATCAAGAGTTATAAGCATACCTGTAATCCCCAATTTTTGAACATAGGGGGGGCTTTTGGCAGGGGGGGGGGGCTTTTGACCTAGGGGGGGCTTTTGGCAGGGGGGGCTTTTGGACTACACCCCATTTATATTTATTTCTTCTGTTTAAAAGTATGCATTGTTTAAAAAAAGGATTCCGTTGAAAAGCAATTTTTCTGCAGAACTGTTCCATGAAGATCGCCGAATTCTAATTAGAATATTTTATTTATTTTTCATGGGAAATTTCAAGGTTTTGGAACCAAATTATTTCTTTACTTTCTTTTAAAAAAAAATACATGACACAGACAAAAAACGGCGCTTATGAATATATTTAGTTTGTTATATATATATTGGAACTTTCGAACAACTTTCATTTCCATATTCTGCCCCAGGACTATAAGCGAGGATCGATGACAAAGTCAGGACTGTGTCTTCGAAATAATTTATACGTATAGATTATTTCGAAGCCGCAATTCATTTTCAACGCGAGTTCACGAAGACGGACGATTCCCCCGAAAATATTATTTTTATGAAGAGGAATCGGATAATTTATTTTGAGTAACTTATTCTTTCTTTGCGCAAAGTTTGTTCAGCGTTCATCATCAGCTCATGGAAGTGGGAATGAATACCCAGTTATGTGTTTTTTCATCTAAACTTATTCAGGAGCATCTACTGGAATACTGTACTCATAAAAGCAAACTTTTAAAAATTAATCAGGCTTCCATTTTCTGTGAGAATGCTCTTCATCAAATCAGCGTTATTTCTATAAATTGCAGTACAATTGAACTTTCTCAACAGTCGCCACATGAGTAAAAATCTTCTGAGCGCCTTTTATCGCAAAAGGAATTGCTGCATAAATAATCATCACAAAAGATTTACTGAAAACCTCTCAAAAAATTAGCAACATTTGTAGCCTTTTTTCGGGAAGATATTTAAATATTTCTGACACGTCGAAGTGGAGCGAATCATAAATTTAAGAATAAGTTTACGAAGATGATTCAACAGTTTCGAAAAACTCGTAAGCTGAAAAATCCCTCGGAAGTGTGAAATTAAAACGAAATCAATGTACTGTACAGTAGACTATTGTAATGGTTCAAGTCAATTCATGGACTTATTGGGACACTATACAGCATTGTATATTCTTATCTTTATGACGAAGAAACCCCAAGGAAAAAGGCTTTAAAATCGTATCATGTAAGCCTGAATTCACGACGAATAAAGAGAGAAATGAAAATTACTTGTGAGAAGACCATGATCTTTCCGCCCGGTGGAAAATCACGGGATTCCCCTTCAAATCAGTGTCGACGGCAGAAATTTGTCCCAAGGGTTGAATGTCAAGAGGTTCCGGAGGCCATTCTGGGTCGTGGTGCACTTGAAATCTGCTTTTGTCCATGAAGAAATCCTAGAAAAATCCGAAAAGAAATCATGAATGAAAGAAAAAACAGAAATCACGTTAAATAAATTCGTGAGGACTCTTTTAAAATCATCATCTCCTTGTCAATGCCATTTTAATGTCCAAAAATTTGCTGTACATTATTGTACTTGTATCTTAATCTACGGAATTCTCTCAGGAATGAATTAAATCCGTCAACTGCGGCCCTATACTGTACTGTGAGGTTTGAGTTATTTTCCCTCATGAAATATCGTCCAAAAAATAGTTGTTGTTCTGGTAAAGTGTTTGGATGAAATAGCTCATAAAACAAATTTTGCATGATCTTGCTTTGAATTTGGTGATTTGCATTTCACTTTTGCGCAGTTCAGTGAGTGTCCTAAATTTTATTTTTAGCAGAAAAGTACTGTATTTTCGTTTCGGATTATTTTCTAACCAATGTGTAACAAACTACAATTGAAGTTACGTTACTCTCATTTATATTTATTTCTTCTGTTTGAAGGTATGTATTGCTTTAAAAAAAGCAATTCGTTGAAAAGCTATTTTTAATATTTTTCTGCAGAACTGTTCTTTGAAGATCGTCGATTTCTGTTTAGATTATTTTACTTTCATGGGAAATTTCAAGGATTTGGAACAAAATTATTTCTATGATTTCTTTGAAAAAATACATGACACAGACAAAAAATGGTGCTCATGAATAGATTTTGTTTGTTATCCAGGATCCCACAGTATCTATAAGAAATGTTGATTGAAGTCAACGGAGAGGACATCGAAGAGAGCACTGGAATCGAAACTAATAAATCCTTTGGGATGAATGGCATCGTTTTTTTTTCTGTATACTTCCGGACGGATCTAAATTTCCAGCTCAATGGTGCTCCTGATGACTTCCTTGGAGTCAGTGGTGTATAACACATAAGAACACTCCATTGGGTTTTATTGTCAAGTCTAGGAAACCGAATTTTCATTTTTTTTTCATGTTCAGTCCATTATTATTTTACCTTTTCAAGGGGCAGTACAGTACTTGCAAAGTCGTTGGACTAAACCAGTGTTATTTGAAACATTGAAAAGACCAAGTTAGAAAACAGCAACTAGCTTAATGCTGATGTTTGATATAAATAAAATGTGCTTTTTGTTTTCAGAAAATACAGTAATAGCGTCTTGATTTTTTTTCAACACATTATCCAGAGCAAGGTTGTAAAATCTGTTTTTCGCGAATCCCGTGTAATCAAAAAATCAAATTAAATATTTGATGTAATTAAACATTTGTGTAATCAAATTCAATAGTAAAATAGAATCTTTACGCATTCTGGACCAATGTATTATTTTTCTTATTCGTGTTGTGTAAAAACATTTTCTGAACCATCAAAACTTCTTTAATGAACAATTATTTAAATATAATGGCTTTTGAATGAGCAGTGGATAAAATTGGAGATATACAGGAAAAAATAAATGAGGATTGAAGAACCTTATAATTTGAATATTGCGCAAAAACATTTTTTTTTAGAAGCTCCCTGCTGGTTCCCATCAAAAAGTTACCATTTGCTCGTCGGCCCCTTTGCTCGACAGAGGAGTTACTGGGAACCCCTGTGATCGTCGCTCATTAATATACCAAAGAATTGCTTTCCAAAAGGAGCTTATATTCTTAGATATCCAGAAACACGCTGAAAAGCCGATAAAATATTCATACAATACGAAGCTCACCCCAACAAAAAAAAGTAAGACTGTAAAAGAGCTTACGGATTCCATGTCGATCTCCCCGCGTTCGATTTTCTGCCGCAGCATCGCGAATAAGGGATCTTCTTCATAGTTGATGTAGTTGCTGGGTGCTATGAGGGAAGTTGGGTAGGCCTTTACCAAGAGCTGCGATGCTAGTGCAGCAATAACCAAGAATCCAAGTCCACTCATACTTCACTTATGGTGGTCTATAATGCGCAGCGACGGTAAGTTTTACTCACTTACCCGCTGGTTCTGCATTTAAAAAAATCTTAATCAGGGAAAATAAATCTTGTACATCTTGCTGTATTACACAAGTACAGGACCATGCACCCCCGCCCACAACAAAATGAGGACAAAAAAAAGTCGCAGGTACAAATTATTTCCACAGATTTTTCTCGCAAGAATTTTGCCTACAGTAGCGAAAAAAGACTGATATTCACTGAAACTGTACCAGAATGCCCTTTGTTTCCTGAAATGCAGGATCCCCAACTGGTCAAAACACCCACACCAACACACAAACAGGCACACTAAAGTACAGTGTTTTTGGCATTTTTCAATTATCCACACAGGATATATACATCCTCCAGTGTATCTTTCCCAAGTATCCCAACCTGCGCTGACGTGGGGACTGAAAGCTGGGAAAGATGCATGCTGCCCAGTAACCCAACGTATGTAGGAGGGGACTGTTTCTTCATGGGCGCGGGTGTTCTATATATACTGTAGATACTGTACTGCATGCAGGCAGCTCATGCTGGGGGCGATGTTTCCTAGAAAGGGAGGGATTTCGAGCCCTACCGCAGCTCTGGAGCAGCTGGGAAAATTTACTCAGGAACCCTTGCTGGGAGGGTCGCAGCGGGGACATGTCCCTCCCAGCCAATGAGAACTTATTCTTATGAGGAGACGCGCTGTGTATGTGTGTGTGTGTGGTAAAGTCAACCCTCCATTTAGTGCCTCAATCCGTCCTATGAGATTTTGTGGCACTAAATTGTGGAGCCATATTCTTCCTGTAATCAAATACAGTAATGTACTGTTCTGTAAATATCAGTACATAATATATATGGGGTTACAGCTGGCGCAAATGGGATAATCTGAGGTTGCAAGTTCACGTGAGTGGACTTCTCGCCGGATCCACTCCAATTGTCCAAGAAATAGTGGTTGGTGAATCATCTTCAGTTGATTTCTTTGGGCGTCGGGATCGATTTAGAAACTCTGAGGTAGGTGTCGCTCTTAGGTGTAAATGAAGCCTTATGTGGAATGTAGCAGCTCTTGATCGGACGAGTCATTTTGTATTGCACCCGGTGAATTGCGCTCGCCGGAATTGAGCGAATTGTGCGTACAGTTTTAGTTGTCAGAATCAAAATTGATTGATTATGCCGAAACAGACAATGTGCGGTGTCTGCGTATTATTTCTTCGAAGATAAGGTCGCTCTGCGGGTGTTTGAATATCTGAAATTTTATGTGATAGGAAAACGCCCTGGTGATCTGCATGCAAAACTGTATTGAAACTGGAAGGATTATCAACGTTCGAGAGTGAAGGTGTTGCATCAATGCCGCAATGGGAATATTAGGGAGCATTCGTCGCATCGCGGAAATTTTACTTTATCGCTTCCAAGGAGACCGTGAGGTTAATGAATTTGTTGTAAACGGGAGCGAAACAAGGAAGAGAAGGCGAGGAGACACTTCGAATTCTGTTGTCAGAAGGTACGTTTTGTGTAGCGATTGGTGTACTGCTCATCTTTCTTAATATGTTTCTATATTTTGCGCAGCCCTTATTCCAATGATACACGGAAAAGAATGAGACGCGCCGAAGTCGTTGACTTGGTCGAAGGAAATTCGGATAGTGATGAAGTCGAAGTAGTGAATACACCATCGTCTAACTCTTCGTCACCGGAAATCTTGCCTATCCCATCCTCGGCTTCGAATACTACCGGCTTGTCGAAGAAGAAGACGCCGATGCTCAGTACTGATCGGGATAATGACTGTGAAGTGGTCCATATTTTGAGAAACGGCGAAATATCGCCCGCTATGCGAACCGGTGATGGTGGCAAACGTTCGAGGGCCATCGATCCCTGTTTTCCGTTCTACTTGTTCCAGCCTTCACCACGGAATTTTCAGCATCCAGCGCAGAAAAAGTTCACGGATTACCGAGATTCATTTGCATCAAGACGTTCTGTGCAAAATTTCAAGGGAGCGGAAATCGTTGACTTGGAGCCGGAATCAGTCGCGAATACTCCCGATGTGATCTACATGGAAAAATCGCCAAGTAGAAATCGTTCGAGATCTTTGAGGGGTAATATCTTCCGTGATGCATTATCTCCTTCAGCAAAATCGAACGATCGATCAGGGGTGCTCTCAACCGGTGTATCCGAAAAGAGAGTACCATCCGAAGTAGATAATTGTAGGAGTCCTTTGGAACTGTCTCGTGCACGATTTAGCTTACGAACCGACTCCCTGCCGAGGTATGTGAATTTAATTAATGCTCGAAACAGCGGAAGCTCGAATTGCATGCGTGTATCTTTTCAGGCGTTCAAAGCTTCCCGTTGCGTCTTCTACACCAGTGACCGGATTTGCTTCGAAAAGTCGCGAAGCTACGTCTCGTGAACTGGATAACAGTTTTAACGGTTACCACAAAATGACGAGCACGAGTAAGTAAAGATTCTACGCGAAGAAAAATCACTTAATATACGTATGATGTATTTTAGTCCCCGTTCATCGGAGTGAACGTAGCAACGATGGACTATCGTACGCTGAATATTCGAAGCGATTAAATTTGAAAATTCAGGATGGTGCCAAGGAACGTGCCGAGAAGATTCGTGCAGTCAAGGAACAAACACATTTTCTTGAAAAGCAGAATGCTGACGTTCAGCATGCTTTACATCTATCATTCAGAATCAGGCAAAAACTTGTTATCGTCGAAGAAGAAGAGACAGAGGAGGAGGGCATTGACGTAGCTGATCAGCTCGCTCCCTTGTCTCAAAAAGCTGAGGTGAGTTTCATTTTGAAAATCAAGTTTTAAGATATGTAGTTTATCTTACGTCTTGCAAGTCATCAAAATATTAGAATTTACCTTTTATTTTGACTGCGTCATTTGTTGCGTTAGAGAACGATTTCAGCTCATCGGTGGAAGAATCAACCGTGAAAAAAATTTTCATTCTTCTGTTCTACTATGAGTCCAAAATAATTTTATAGTTCCTGAAGATACTGTAATTGGAATGTTCTTACTCGCATCCATGAGCTAACCCTATGTCCTGAGAGACAGTTGAAAAGTATCCTCTTCTGAAGTTCTAAGCGGAGTACACTGAAGAGCCGTAAAATGCATAGCCGTCGTATTTATTTCGTTTTCACCCAGGCTGCAATTTCTGAAGCTTTCGGGTCCAGGTCCTCGAGCAACATCCTGAGTGAGAAGTTCTCCATTCAGATCCGCTGGAAAGATATTAATACGCTTGCCCCCGGCGCCTGGCTTAATGATGAAGTGATCAATTTTTACTTGAACATGATCGTTGAGCGATCGGAATCCGGCGGAGATCGTTACCCTTCCGTGTTCGCGCATCAAACGTTCTTCTACTCTACGTTGGCATCTCGCGGATATCAGGCTGTGCGTCGGTGGACCCGGCGAGTTGACATTTTTGAAAAAGAAATCATTCTGATTCCTGTTCATCTACAAATCCACTGGACCATCGCCGTCGTCGACATGAAGTTAAAAGTTGTGTCTTTTCTGGACTCCATGGGATCGCAGAGGTTCGTAATTCTATGGTTTTCTTTTTTCTGTTCGATATGCCTTTGAGTATTGTGCGAAAGCTAATTTAATCCGAATGACAATGGAAGTTTGCGTGAGCTCCTTATTCTCGGTATACTGTACATCCTTAGGATGGAAACCCGCATCAGTGGTGGCCAGGTTGAAAACATTGAAGTTCTTCAGTAGAATTGAAAGAACATTTGCCTAATAATAATACTCTGGTCCGATCTAAATCTCCATACTGTAATCCTAAAAATACATGCAGGATTTCTTCGAAATATGGGTTTGCGTGATCATTCGTTTTAGGTTCCTTCTGTGGCAAAGTGGCTATCGACTTGTACTGTATTCCCTTTTTTGTAAATTTTTATTTCTACGTTGGTTCGTCGATCAAATGTTTTGTTGCACGAGTTCGTACTTTTTGAACTGATCTCTTGGGTTCGGATCTTGCCATCAGCAAAATCAAATCTTCGTTCATAATTCAGCGTTCTCCTTTGCAGATGGGATATTGTTGATACCATCCTGGATTATCTGAAGCAAGAAATGAAGGACAAGAAGAATGAGATCTTGGATGTATCTGAATGGAAGAAGGAGATTCCGAAGGTTCCTCAGCAAATGAACGGTTCTGACTGCGGGATGTTCGCTTGTAAATTCGGAGACTACTTGTCAAGGAGAGCTAAAATTACTTTGTCTCAGTCTGACATGCCGTACTTCCGACGACGGATGGTGTGGGAAATCTTGAACAAGACCTTTTATAAGGCTTGAAGCGGATCCGCTAAAAAAGTTTGGAAATATTTTTAAAAAGGTTTTCTGGTTTACACGATTTTTACGGAGTGAAGCCAAATTTTTGATTAGGTCCTTTGCCGAAATTGTCATCACCCGAGGAATCTGATCTTGGTGAACTTGCATAAAGTTTCGTTTGAGTTGATTTTCTTCCGACTGTATTATGTTGCCAGAAATGGAAAAATGGACGTCCACAGCTTCCTTTTGATTTTTTCTTCTTTCCATCCACGTATATATCAACAAAGGTTGTAGCTATGTGATGTCTGGCCTTTTCGTCACGTTTCCAGGGAGTGCTTATGTGTTCTGTGAAATGAGAGAAGGATTTATTTCATCGGCTGGTGTAGTTACGATTAATCCCGCGACGCGGAGAACGACGGTCTTCGTCATCTTCGAAGTGGCTGTCATCTTTTATTTGATACGCCTCAGCCACGACACTCATAGTTCTGCACTAAAATCTACTGCGTTTTTCAACGTCTTCGTCTGTTTTTGGTAAGTACCACACTGTTCTTCATTCCCTGCTTATTGAAGTACTGTATGTGATTTGCGTTTGTGATCATTTTCAGCCTAATCGTCAAGATAATCGGAGAATGTGTGCCACATTTTACTCCGAACCCAAAGTTTTCCTACGGTTACGACCGTCTTGAAGTGATCGTTGTGTTCAGTTCTGTCATCCTGTGCATCTTGGGATCAGTTTTCATCGTGAAAGAGGGCATTGAAGCATTTTTCCATGTTCATCACGCCGTGACATCGACTGGAGGGTTAGTGAGTCAAGTTCTTTTTTTTCTAGATTCTTACCTGATCGTGTGAACCTTTTTTTTTCCAGGGGAAGGCTATTCGTTGGTGCGTGCGTAGGATTTTTTTCCCAAGTTTTTGGGATCCTCGGCGCACGATGCAGAACGCTTACGCATGTTTTTGATTCCTGCAACACGAGTTGGTTTCAAGAAATATTCATTGGCATGGGAAGGCGGTGAGTAATCTTGCGGGGGTGGCCCGATCTACGGCGGTTGATCTAAAGGGTTTGCGACAGATCGGGATAGATCAACAATTTTTTATAATTCATAAACGAGATGATACTGTATCAAGAGACTCTCCAGTTCTGTTGTACTCAATGCCGATTTTAAATTGTTATCTGTTTGAATCCAACGATTGATTGAAGGGACTTGCAGGTAGGTGTAAAGAATTCTTCCATCCACTATGATTAACGTTTCCAATTACAGCCTCGAATCCTGTAATCGCCTACAAACTCTCGGGCATTCTGCCGATGTTCGGGGCTGCTGTGGCTTTTAAATCTTTTTGATTGAAACAAATTATTGGTGTGCAAATTGTTCGATAGATTTGCTCAGAACTTTTACTTTCTATCGAATGTTCGCATGAGCATGTTGTACCATATTTCAAATCAGCATTGATGTTCGCTTTTTTCCTTGGTGGCCGCCTGACAGTGGAATTCGTTTAATTTTAATTTTTAAAGTTTCAGCCAAGGACGAAAGAGGAAAAAGCCTATTCAGGGATTGCTCATCTTAGCAGAGATACCTTGCTTCAGACTCCAGCAATGATCGATTTGGCACAGCTTGATTTTGACTTGAAGATTCGTTGTACTGTATAAGTGATGAACTGAAATTGGCAGAGTATTTTTAGCTGCACTGTTACTTTTCTATAAAAAAACGAGCTGATGTAACGGATATCTTTATTTTTTCTTGATTAAAAAAAAAGTTGTGCTTTATTCTGATGAGTCGCAAAAGTTTGGATCAGTTTTGTATTTCATGGTTTGTTCAAGATCCAAATTTAATTTATCATACGGTGAATATTCGTAATTATCCAAACTGCGGCAAGGTCTGATCGTTTTGATTTCGGGAATGCTTTACAGGCTGGTTAAATTTAGCCCAGCTCTTGGTGGCAGGTTGAGGAAAGTGACGAGGATCAATCCGTGTTACCTGGTGTCGTTCTCCAATTTCTGTTCCATTGGATTCTTGGAATCCATGGTTCCCACGTCGTGAGTATTTATGTGCATTAGGAAAATAGAAAATCATTTGTGCGTCAATGAAGTAAAAAGAATTACAACGCTATCCGCGTTAGATGGAAAATCTAAAATTCACAGTATTTGGCTTGGATTTTACGACAATGCTCGTGGTTTTTCGAGTTCCTAACTAATCGGTTTCCTGTATCAACTACCAGAACCTTGATGAAATTCGTGGGATTTGTGGAAGTACTACATAACTTATTTCGTGATTTTACTCAATTTTTTAACGTTTTCAACGCCGCTATGGTGAGGCTCTTACGCTGAATTGAATTTTTTGGTTTCATGAAAATCTCTGTAGTTTGATGTTGAACCTTAGAAAAGACTAAAATGCGAAGAATCTAGATTAGAAACAAAACGAATTCCGGGTGATTAGAACGTTCTGTTGTAGTTTTCTTATACTTTATTGAATTTATTGCATAATGCACTCTAGAATTACGGAAGACGTTACGAAATACATGCTTTGACGGTTTTATTTCTGTCGTCCATATTCACATCGCTCGATGTAAATTTTCTCTTCCCAAGGCAATTTAGGATTGTCGATTTGGCTGTGTCTCTGTGGACCGCTGTCCTGATCTCGTCCACAATGTTACCGTTTGTTGTGTTCACCGCCAAAATCTTGATGCAGTTCCCTCCGGAACATTCGAGCCCTGCCTTGGAAGTTGCCCTCTTGGAAATCCTGACAGCAGTGGACGGAGTTCTCGAGTGTCAAGATGAACGATTTTGGCAAATCGGGTTTCCTACCTCGTTGGGCGGCCGTTGTGTTGCCGGCGCGTTGAGAGTTCGGGCGCGTCGAGATGCGAATGAAGCCGTGATTATTCGCGATGTTACTTTGCGACTTTCGCACCTGGTGAGTAACTTAACGGTGCACGTATTCAAAGATGATTGGTTGTACCGGCCGGCGATTGGAAATTCGCTCATGATTCCGTTCACGGAGGATGTGAAGAGTTTGCCGATTCCTGTCGGGACTCAAAATTGGAAACAATCGGGCTCGATTTTAACGAGGGGTATTAACTCGGATTCAGCTCTGCATACTTTTGTTGCCATACCGGACGTATGAGCTTACATATTTTGCATTATTATAACAATTACTTGAAATGATAATGGTAGACTTTCAACGATGGAAAAACGAATGAATCGTATATACAGAAAAAAATGTCGTTGCAACGGAAGTCTATCCGTAAATCATTCATTGCAACTGTGATATTCGTCAACGGAGATTTCCAGCGTCATATATGACAATGATGGTTTGAAGGAATTTTTAGTTTCACTATTAGAATAGCCTTTTTTGGAGAAAAAAAAATTATTTCGACGTAAAGCATTGTGTCTAATATTTCATAATGAAAGAACTTTGATTTTAAAGTATTTTTTTGCTTCAACTGTGTTGATAGACTTCATTAAAATTTGATAATTTTGCATAGTTGGCATTTGTTTTGAATGTTTTTTCCAAGGTATTGAAAAGAATCAAAGAGTTTTTTTAAAGTTATGGGCATCTTTATTTTCGCTTCTTGAAAAGTGACGATCAAACTTTTTTAGTTATAAATTGATTTTTGACTTCGTCCACCCAACGGTTATATTGTTGGCCGTCAAGTATTTTTTCAAGTAAGAACGTAAGGGTTTGAAGTAATTTAAAAGTGGCTGCATTGTGATTTCTCGACGATTTGTCATATCATAGTATGTATCACGCCATGGTTGTGTTGCTCCAACTTCCATGAGTTTTCTGCAATAAAAAAATATTTAATTTTATTTTAAATGTTGAAGAACGGTTAAATGTTTACGCCGATTTTATGTCAAGGTATTATTTTGCTTTATTGTAAATTTGCATAAATGGGGACGTAATATAAATGAGTTATTGAGTGTTTTACTTTAAAATTATAGGATATGGTTATTTAAAGTGTTCGTGTATTTTTTGTATGATGATGCTAATTTGGAAGATAGTGGGTATACGAAAGAATAAATATTTTTTAGTTTTCTAACCTCAGTTTTAACCCAGCAATTTGATTTCCGTGCAAGTTGCAAGTGTGCAAAGGCTTCACGTCTGGTTCTTTGGGATTATATAAGCCTGCAGCAGTGCACATCACTTGGTGAAAATGGAATTGCATCATGTATGCAATGAAGTATCTCATGGAATCGACGTCGTTGGATAGGTGAAATGTGGTTCCTGCGTCAAAATAAGTTTCGTTCCGTGGAATTGGAGGGTGAAGTCCTTGGTATTCTTCGCTGGAATTGAATCAATTTTTTTCTTGTAAACAGAAAGTTGAGTTGAAAATTTTTCAATCTATTTTATCACGATAATATTTAGATCATATTTTTAATCTAGTTCAAATTCAGTACAGTAGTAGGTTTAATATTTCAAAAGTTAAAATTGTTATGGAACTTATCGGTAATTTTTCAAGAAAGATTTTTGTGAACTTTAATATTTGTCAGTCAGTTGTTGAAAAAAAAAAAAAAACCACGCAGACTTCGTACTGTTATTAGTATTTTAGTACTGACCATAGTTCCCACCAAGCCCGGTTATAATTGTGGTCCGTCACGGTGCCGTCGTAACTGCGCCAGTGGAATTCTTCGACACAGTATGAGTACGGGAAGTATACAATCTTCGTCAGAGCTAATCGTAGAAGATTAGCCATTTCTTCGTCTTCCGAATCAGCCGTCGGAGGCAACAACCTTAATCTCTTCAAATTTCTCGGGGACATGAACGATAACGTCAATGTGTCACCCAACGCTTCATGAAAACCTGAAATAATTGGTAATTGTAGTATACATTCAACATTATCAACATATGCGATTTTATCCTGTACAGTAGTGTCAAAATCATGCTCACCTTGGTTTGCAGCATCCCTAAAAGTTGCCGGCTGACGGACATAGTTGATGAAATACAGCACGTGGCCCATTTCATGAAGAACATACTCCATACCATTTCTGGTTCGTGGTGTACAGTACTTAATCCTACAAACAGAATATGTATGGAGATTTTTGTCAATTCTTCGACCGGATTAAATTACATTGCGAGAAAATGTCTCATGGTAATTTAATAATGTTGACACACATCTTTCCGAATGTGAAACAATTATTTCTAGAACTATTCATTGCACAGTACTGTACTATGCATAATGAAACGGGTTACTGTTATTGCATATATTTACCTATTTATTATTTTTACCTATTTTAGGTAGCCAGGAGCCTCTCTAAAAAACAATTGATTTATGACGATAGGTGGATTCTCTACAACGAAATTTGGGGGACCGGAGAAAAAATTGTGGAGATAATTTTGTTTCAGATTTTAATTTCGTTTCAGATGTACCAGATAACATGGGGGACCCTATGTTTAAAAAAAAATTATACTGAAAATCCACGTGCTGTATATTATTAATTTCTGTATTAGTAGCTCGCCCCATCTATTTAACGTGTTCGGCGTTAACAAGACGAAAACGTATGTTGAAGAGTTATAAAATCAAACGTTTTTTTTAGCTTTCCTCAGTCTTGCATCTTATTCCAGTATTATTATAAATTAATTTTTTACTTTATTTCATTTCTCCTAAGTTTTTAGGAATCTGTGCATATAGTGTGTGATGGCTGAATAGTTCTTGGCTTTTATAAACAATTGTGATCTTAAATTTTCCCCGATCGTGCAGGATGGAGACAAGAAAGATGGCAAGACCAAGAAGTAACATGGTAGACCCTCATCTCTTCTTAGGTCATGATAAGTTAGCATCACTTGGTAGATACGCCGACAGCAACCCAATGTGTTGAGACATTTTTAAATTTTTCATTTGAAAAATATTCTCTCCCCGTTTGTTCCCCTCAAATATCTTGAGATACATTTCTGGACGCTTACCTGTAGTCTCCGGGAATGTCAGGAGAAGCGTACATATCCCACGCTTGCGGATAGCAGTTGACTTTCCGATCTTTCAACTTCTGAAGCATCGACTTCTTGAAAAATTCTGGCGAACCTTCGGACAAGCTTTTGAACCCCATGCTGACGAAGAACTCGTCGGCAATTCTATACATTTCCGGAACTGTAATATTTTGCTGAATACGCAACGTAAAATTGTGAGAGGGGTTAATAATTTTCCCAATATTTTTTTTCTTGTTCTCTTACCCTTACAAGTTCGTCAGTTATGTCAAAGCTCGGGGACTCAAAAACGTTCATGATTGGGAAAATGTTCTGCCAGTCCAATCCCCACATGTTACCTGCAGAAAATATCGATTGTTTCGTATTTTTCGAGGAAATTTTTTCATCACTTTACTCCACAATTATCAAAAGAAGTAAAGTTTTCTGTGAATTACATTCTTGAGCCCTTCAAAAATTGAAATTGCAATTTTGGAATCTTCAACGGCACTTGGTGAATAATAGTTATGCAATACAGGTTGCGGAGGGACATTTTGAATCATCAACTCAGATTTTGCATGGTTAAAAGGGATAATGAGTGATGCTCTGTTGGTCGTTTATTTCCTTCGATGCATTATTATGGAGAAACATTTCTGTTGGTGGAAAAACGAAAAGGATAATTTTTCAAGGCAGTGTGATGAGTCAACCACATTTTTGGAATGGCCCGATCAACCATACTATCGTGTACGATTGCGTTTGAAGTTGCTTGATGTTTGCGAACATTCCTATTTTGTACAAACACCCCCTCCTCGTTTTCTCACCGACTAGATGAGCAGGAATAGTGGTAGAAACGTTGACCACGTCGGAGCCGTAGTGAAGTCTCAGCCGATGTCGAACAAATGCATGTAGCTCTTCATAAAATGGCCGCACCTCGTCAAACCACTGCCGGAATCTTTTTCGGAAGTTCTTTTCTTGGTATTGCCCAACTTTCAGGTCTATGCCGGAATGCGTGCTGTCTACACCTGAAAACGTAGTGGAAACGGATTTGCGGACATTTTCAAATACTGTAATTTTTCTAAAATGGCTCCTTCAAATTGACCGTCGCTCAACGCAGCCGCGTTTGTGAGCCGCGTTACGTCCGTGTACAGTTGTCGAACTTGAGGTCCAAGTTGCTCCCTCCAAGCCGTCCAAATGTATGTCAATTTGTTGAGGTCATCTCGATTCAGAGAAACGCGAAAAATTTCTTCCAGTTCTGTTCATGGTGTCAAAAGTAACACTGTATGTTGATTGAATTTCGTTCGAATTGCTAATGCGTAACTTATAAGATTCTCCCGTATTCACTCACCAGGCATCAGTGCCCATGTCATGCCTTTGTCCTTGTTGCAATCTCTGTTATCGTAAGGGCAAATTCCATTCAGGGCAAACTTGTCAATCATTTCTGCAGTTTTTTTGTTGAGCTGAGAAACACGGACTCATAAAAACTATTTGTCAAATTCTGTTTGTTTGACGGTATACAGACCTCGCGAAGCTTTGAATCATCCAAAGAAGAAATACCGAGACCCGAAACCTTGTTGAAGAACCGTTTGAGCTTTTCCTCACCGACTGCTTCGTTCAGTTCTGAGAGATTGAACGATGAGATGTTGTACTTCCACTCGGACTTGACCCAAGCATCGAATTCGTCTTGCGCCTCTAGCTAAATAAGTAGTTTTGAAAACATTTGAGGGTTGAACTTTTCATTACAGGTCACCTTAGTGCTTCATTGAAATGACTACATTTGTTCTCGACTATTGAGTAATATGCAGCACTGTACTGTACATCATTAAGAAAGGCGTAGTTCGTAGTTGATCTACTTACAGAAGGGTGATTATGAGCGTGTGTTTCAATAAGTTGAATAAGTTTCGATTTATTTCAAATAATTTTGAAATCGTTACCACGAAAGGTTGCCCCATTGTAAATGAGAAAATACTGGCATTTGGACGAAAGCAAACTTGACGCTTGAGCAGAAGCGAAGAAAACTTTTGGATTTAGAGCCAAGGGCAGTGATTTTTCTTGATCTGCAGAAAAGCATGGACTGCATCGTTCAAAAACATAATCAACATAGATCTTCACTTCTCGCTGAAATTCATGCCTTTTGTAGTGTACAGTACTGCATATAGCCAAAAAAGTTGTTCGTCCGAAACAAATTAGTTACGCTAGGATTTTTTTGGTCCCCCGAATTCCGTTATGTGAAATATTTGTTATTTTTCATGTTGGAACTTATTTTCTTACACAGCACCAATTTCTTTCGGACAACTTCGCTTTTGAATAATTTAAACTGAGCCCAAAAATGTACCTTATCCAAGAAAGTCTCTGCGTTGATGTTGACGTAATGCGCCCAGTCGATGCTAAGTAATTTTGAGAGTCTCCTGAGAAGTTCCTCGTCGTAATATTCCTGGTAAGCCCTCAATTCGTCTATTCCTTTGGCCTGATTTTGAATCCGGAGCAGGGCGTTAAGTATTTGGAGAGCGTGTTCTGCTTGAAGTCTGTTGTGCAGGGTGAAATAGTGTTCGCCGGAACGTAATATCTGTGAAAAAACTTAAAAAATAGTCAAATGTTCTTTTTTTCTGTGATGCAATGATGGCAGATGATCACTCGTCCTAATGTTGAGCGGAACAGTATTTTTCTCAAGCATTTTCTGATCTGTATTACTTCCCAAATTTTAAAATGAAAAACTGTAGTGTAGGAGTCGGGAGCGTCCCACCCGATTTACCTGACCAGACAGTAGGAGACGTACTGTAATTCGGCGTACGGAAGATCAACCAGGCGGAAAACCACGTTAAGACGGCTTAAGCGGCCCGGAAATCTCGACCACCGTTTTTTTTTCAATTCAGCAATTGACACTAGCGGTTCTGGGGATGACTGCCCACCAGCCTTTGTGCCCAGAAAGTCCGAAGCCCAGGGATAAAAAAGGGTTTGGCGAGTGGGTGACAAAGGAGAACATGCAGCGGATGAAAAAAAAAAAGTCCAAGTGACAGCTTGGGGCATCCTCAGTATAGGTTTCTTGCTGGGACCATAAGTTGGTCGATGAACGTGCTTATGTACTAGACCTAAATTTATTCAATTTGAGCATGTGCCATTTTCTGATATATGTATCACAATAGGTCATTCGATTGAATTTTACTGCAAGTTTTGCAGCCAAGTGATCTCAAAATTTTCATTCCCCAAATAATGCGCAAACTATATAGTAATATCTAATTTACAATATTTACCCCAGTGGCTCCATTAGAAAATTTGAAATAGAAAAATTGGATGACTCGTAAATCCTGAAGGCACAAACATGAATAAGGTTTGAAAGTAGGGTTCAGAAGCTGATGCAGCAGTACTGTATAGCAAAACGTGTGTGTACAGTGTCCGCAGAAAATTATATGGCAGTTATTAATTTAAATATAAACACAGGACTTTGATGTAGAAGTGGAATTGTCAAACAAACAAAATCTAAAAATATTGAGAACAAAAAATATTCATGATTGGGTTCACGTTTTACATATGCACTGTTCTTTGTCTTTGGCAGACTTTGTTGTGTGACGTTACTCTTTGGGTTACGTGGGAGGTAAATATGTTGTAATTCACCCAACTTGCATTCCTTTCAAAACAATTGGCAGGAAACCACAGATCTTGGAACCCCTCTGGATTTCCAGGTAAAACGGAATAATCAGCCTCCCAGGATTTTCGAGCTGTGGGCATCACAATAGATAATCTTGCGCAGGCCAAAAAAAAACAGCACAGCAATTCAACAATTCAAGGGACCAGAAAAAAATATCCGTTGTAGAAAACACATTTCCTCCTAGATATTTTAGGGACTGAAAATACTGTCCCAGAAATTGGAACATGTCCCGGAACAGGACTTGGGGATGAAAAAAGAAAGATTGGAGAAGGAGATAAGATCCGCGGCCCTTCCTTAATGGTGCCACAGGTCAAAGGATTTTTTTGGCGCGGGCGGTCAAAGTGGTGGGCAGTGGAATTATTTACCGACACTAGCTACCCCACAGTTACCAAATTTCTTCTTTCCTGCTGAATCCACCAGAAGGAACTCATTTCTTGCTGATGATATATTCATTACAGAAGGGAAAATTGATTTGAATTAAGGAAGTCTGGCCCTCAGTTAGGATGACTGTCATCTCTTGCGCTGAGTAATCGCAGCCGATGCGGGTTTAATATGAACTAACAAAACCTTTCACAGATCCGAAAAAAAATTATGATTGATGTGACTTTTCCTTCTTCCGCTCCTTACTGCCACACCGTAATGTTAGAAAAAATCAGCATATTCTTTCTTCAAGCAGATTTAAGTACTGGACGTGCATGTGCTTACTTCAGCTCTCACGCTAGTTTTCATAAACATGCTTTACGGGGCCGTGATCCTTAAATTCATAATTCCATACATAAGTGTGACATCTTTGACCTGTCCAACTGAATAACTCCATTGATCTTTAAATTTTTAAAAATCCCAAGAGTGGACGATGTACTCACGAATGGAGAGAAGAAATTCAATTGAGTTTCTGCTGCAGGGGCCGAAAATAGGACAGCAAATGATACAATCCATTTTGATCCTTCCATGCTGCCCTGAAAATCAAGAATTCAAGTCGCTTCAATTCATGTAGTTTCCAGGGATTCATGTATACAATTTCCGTCTTTACCTTGAATTGAGTTGACTATTCTAGAATCTACAATAGTTCTAGAATCTAGAATAGTCAACTCAATTCATGTTGAATACATCTAGGTGATGGAAGCCTTAAAAATTGGTCTTAATGATGAATTAGGTTTCAACTCACGTCGTGATCAAACGGATTTTTCTGGTTTCACGACGTTGAAGCAGTTGTAAAAATCACAGTTATGAAATCACAGCCTTGCTCGATATCTGTGAACAAAATGTCGAATCATAGAATCGTCGAGTCTCTCATCATCACGTCTGTAAGAAGGTCAGATACTTCGCGGTGGAATATGATAACCTTAATCGTGAAGCAAATAACCGATAAATGCGTCTTCATTTATTCCAACTGATTGACTTAAGCCCTGATGATGAAAAGCCGGATAACTTCTCCCATCAGCGAAGGAATCCTTCCCAGACCGAATCGTTTCAGAAAGTTTTGTGACGCGGAAACCAAACTGGTGGATAATACTACAGCTCGTCGAATGTATCTATTGAAACCTGGTTTCGGCAAAAGTGTTTCTCCCTCATCATCTTCAGTAAGATTCATTAAGCCTTCGTAATCCATCTTGTCGTCATGCAGGGTTGAAAGAGCGGATGTTCCCTCATCTTCCACGTCGACGATACGGAAGTCTTGTCGCAACTCCAGTGGGATAACTTGTTTATCCCTCGTTTGTTCGAACTGGTTCATGGCCTGGGTTCGCTTTTCTTGAGCGAAAAACAGCTTTTCCACGGGGATTTCGTATTTCGGAATCCCGAAGTCCTGGAAGCAGTCGTCCTCGAGGTTAAAGAGGCAAATCACGTCGCTGTACGATGTCCAAAAGATGGGGAACAAGATGGCCTGGATTGAAATTAATCCAAGATAGTTGAGGATGAATATAAGTTTCTCTGAACTTTTTATACGCCGTATAGCTACTGGAGGAATATTTTCCATCGTTTTCGAAAGTTCATTGTTGTGTTCTCTTATAAGAAAAGTACATTGAAAGATTTTGAAGGATGTGCGCGCCACTTCATTCGATGTCCGTCAAACTTCGCAAACATCATATAGGTGTCGCCCTAGTATAATTTACTTGGAGCAGATCAAGTGAGTCACTATAGTTATATGATAAGGGCTAAGTACATGATTTACTAAACCCCTCATTCAGTCAATGTTGAGCAAGCGTCAACAAGTTTAATATGTTAGTATTTTGAGTTTCATCAAGGATATGGTGTGGGTTGTTATGAAGTAACAGACTGAGCCGCGACCATTGATACGGTATATGTGGGCTTATATAAATATACAGTATACACGCAAGAATATCTTCTTATTCCCAGATGCAGGTAATTTTTCTGTCGACTGCTAACCTGCATTGTGATGAAAATCGCACCGGCCCACACAACTGCTCTGACGGTGGCACTCAACTGCTCAGTGGAAAATGTCACGTCGAAAATTCTGTCATCGAAATCCATGACTATCATCTGACGAGCTTCCATAATGTCAAGTGCTGGTGGAAAAAAAAATTCGAGCCTCAAGTAAAACTCACGAAGAACCCAGGACACAAATCGACACCAAAGGAATTATACTGAAGCATTTAGTTACATATTTTATTGCTCTGCTCCCTCCCGTGTTCCCAGAATAATAGCCCAAAGACCTATATATATATATATATATATATATAGGCATTCAAAGTTGCGTAGAGTTTCAAAGGGAAAGTCCGAGGTTCCGAGGTACCAACAGAAGGTCTATACTCTATACAGTACTGTATTTCATGATGTTCATCTTGAAAGAATTCAGATAGGGTAAAAAAAAAATTGACACACAGCTGAATGGGAGCTTCAAGTTAGCAAGGTTCGACTGTAAGAATAAATCGGCCAATCAAGATCGCCATTTTTTACTCGTTCAATAATTTTAATTATCCACAGCAGTATAAAGCCACTATTGAACTGTCAATTACAAATTAACTGTACAGTGCCGCTCTCCCAAAAATGAGAAAGCCCTCAAAAGACAATTAAGTCTCAACAAAAGCTTAATGATTACTTAGCCACTTTCTTCTATAGAAGGCAATGTATTTTTGAAAGCAGGTCGGACAGCACCAATAATTCAAACCAAGCGCATCCCGGGACTGCGAAAAAGACTGAAAATCTCCACCTAGCTGTTTCTCTTGGGGGTCACATGCCTGATAGAAAAAACTATGCAAATTTCAAGAGTAGAACACCTCACCGTAAAGTGGGATTCGAAAGAAAAATATGGACCTTGTTTCTTCATTCTGCTGTCTCGGAATAAGATGCATGGCGTCTCGATCAGACGTGACCCGTACGTAAAACAAACCTAGCATTCCTTCGTCTGCCGGTCTGGATTTCCACTTTTTTTGGTGAGTTTTGTTTCGTGGACTGTTTTCATATCTTTGAAACAACGTTCTCGCCGTTGTGTGACTGTCACACGGAAATGCGATCATATCAGACATCCTTCGACATTTTTGGCTCACGCAGCGTTTAATTTTTTCGTTCCTTCATATTACAGTCATTCCCTCAATTATTCTTCCGCCAAAGTAAGCCATCGAGACACTCGTCTGTTGCTGGCATCAGCAGGGAGAAACTCATTAGCTGTTCGCACTGGCGTGTCCAGTAATTTTCAGCCCAGAAAGCATTACGGTGTACATATATAGTGGAGAGTATGTATATATATATATATATATATAGGCATTCAAAGTTGCGTAGAGTTTCAAAGGGAAAGTCCGAGGTACCAACAGAAGGTCTATACTCTATACAGTACAGAATTGCATGATGTTCATCTTGAAAGAATTCAGATAGGGTAAAAAAAAATTGACACACAGCTGAATGGGAGCTTCAAGTTAGCAAGGTTCGACTGTAAGAATAAACCGGCCAATCAATACACACTCGATCGCCATTTTTAACTCGTTCATCAATTTTAATTATCCACAGCAGTATTGCCAGTATAAAGCCACTATTAAACTGTCGATTACAAATTAACTGTATAGGGCCGCTCTCCTAAAAATGAGAAAGCCCTCAAAAGACAATTAAGTCTCCTCAACAAAAGCTTAATGATTACTTAGCCACTTTCTTCTATAGAAGGCAATGTATTTTTGAAAGCAGGTCGGACAGCACCAATAATTCAAACCAAGCGCATCCCCGGGACTGCGAAAAAGACTGAAAATCTCCACCTAGCTGTTTCTCTTGGGGTCACATGCCTGAAAAAAAAAACGATGAAAATTTCAAGAGTAAAACACCTCACCGTGAAGTGGGATTCTTAAAAAAAATATATGGACCTTGTTTCTTCATTCTGCTGTCTCGGAATAAGATGCATGGCGTCTCGATCAGACGCGACCCGTACGTAAAACAAACCGAGCATTCCTTCGTCTGGATTTCCACTTTTTTTGGTGAGTTTTGTTTCGTGGACTGTTTTCATATCTTTGAAACAACGTTCTCGCTGTTGTGCGACTGTCACAAGGAAATGCGATCATATCAGACATCCTTCGACATTTTTGGCTCACGCAGCGTTTAATTTTTTCGTTCCTTCATATTACAGTCATTCCCTCAATTATTCTTCCGCCAAAGTAAGCCATCGAGACACTCGTCTGTTGCTGGCATCAGCAGGGAGAAACTCATTAGCTGTTCGCACTGGCGTGTCCAGTAATTTTCAGCCCAGAAAGCATTACGGTGTACATATATAGTGGAGAGTGACAGCCGAAAAAATAGCCTTCGGCCTAGAATCCTAGATCACGGGGCGTTCGCATTTTTTTCATCCCCAGATTTTCAAAATTTGAACGTTGAAATCGCGGGAAACGGTGAACTAAAAGTTTAAAACCAACGACAAGAAGATGCTCCGAATTTCCGGGATGTTCCCGCAGGGGTTGTTCATTTTTACGATGAGTGGTACGTCCGAAAAATTAATACAAGACATTCCAACTCGCTCGCTTTTTATTTTACTCATTGGACAATATGTAAGGTCGGAATCATGAACTGATTCTCCCATACAATCGTTATTTCCTCTGTTAAATATTCAACTAATCGCGATCTGGAATACCTCGCTATTTTTATACCATCATCTCGTTCGAGACTCGAAAGTAATTGAATCGAAACTCCTTATAAAAATCTTGACCTAATTTCTGTGATTACAGTCTTGATGATTACGTGTAAGAACAATCTTTATATAGGGCCGTGTGGGATATTACATCCCCACAGTAGTCAACCTCTATTATCTTGAAATGTCAATTCAGGCAAGTGCATGTACTCAGGATTTTGGAACGAAATGCATTTTCACAGTTCAGAAAACTGAAAATCATCTGAACGTATACCTAAAAAAATACATTCGCAAAGGTCTCGAATCTCAACGACGTCTAATATTTTCTGGAGAATATCTTAACTTTCAAGATTCAAATAATGAAAGTCTACATCAACAAGAGCGATTGTTATGGCATATAATTTTGTTTGAATTTTGGATTATCAATAACTAAGTTACACTGTTGACATCAGTATCTTAATTATATCGAGATTACAGTGCAGGCCACGTTTCCATGATTTAACGTTTCCTGAAAAAACAATATTGCTTCGTTGATTATAATCAAATAGCCTAAAATACAGTCCAGTACAGTACTTCCAAGCTGACCATCCCGAAATGTGAAAAAAAGACAGCCCAACCGGATTCGCAGTCACGTGAGCGGCCAGCAACAGTAAAGGATATTTAAAATCTGCATCTTGATTTCCATCAAGAAAAGGATGAGGACATCTGGACATGCACCTCATGTCCTCAAGGGGTCCACTGCTTTGTGGTGCTTGAAAAAATAATAATAAAAAGGAAATTGAACTTCCGTCAAGCGTTGACTCGCAATCGCCTGCTGCCTGACGGAAAAAGACGAATAAAATGAAATGAAATCCTGCAGTAGCTCCGGTTCCGCGCCGGCGGGCAAGCAGACCTGCGAGAATTACTCCCCGCCGCTGCCCGCACTCGTATGGACGGACACAGCATATATGTGGACCGTTGTCATTATATGGGAGCGAAAAAAAAAAAACTTGGGTCAAGTGAGCGCTAAGCCAAACGGAGGATCATTCAATTGAGCGCCAAATCCAAATAGCCATAAATCGAGTGAGCGCTGAGTCCAAGGGATCGTGCCACCTAAATGAGCGCCCAAGTCAAATTGAGCGTAACTTGAGGGGGGTTGAAGTATGATGGAGGACATCTTATGTCCTACATTAAAAGGGGGCTCGAATAATAAAACTACAGCAGTTTATATCGTTTCCAAATTTTGGGTGGATCAAACGTTTTCTGAAAAATTTAGAGCAAAAAATACTGTGATAAAATACTGTACTTGTATAACCAAAAAAATATGCTTAATTTTGGCGAGGTATGAACGCAGTATTGTACTGCAATCCCAGAAAAAAAAATCAATCCAATTAGTCAATCAATTAATTACCAAGATTTACATCCCTTATTCCAATGAGCTGTGTTACTCAATACATTTCCATCCGAGAAGCATATGAGAAATTTGGCAACAAATATTGCACCATTTACAACCATTTTTGTTCGTTACTTGAAGGGATGATTTCGAAAGATTAAATGACCAATTTCTAAAAATCCATTAATATGTGCGTCCGAACATTGTTTTTATGCAAAACAATTGTCCCGACTATTTTTTTTCCTCCAGTAAACATTTTCTAATGCAAATTTTTCGTATATCACGGAAGTCGTTCATTATGCGGGACTCAGCTGTAATTTAAAATTCATCAGCTATTGCACTGTTTAGATGATCAAAGCATCTTATTAGAATAAATCAAGTGAATCACCCAAGGCACTACTGTAAACAAAAAAAGGCCGTAATCACGGAAATCAATTATTATAACGAGCCATCATCGAGAATTATTTTTATTTTACCATCATAGCTGACTCATGATCTCCGACGCTCATTGGGGTGGCGCTCAATTGCTCTCGGCGCTCAGTTTTCCATTCTCAATCCCCATAATCGGATGGTGCTCAATTGGACGGTCATGAAAAGAGAGAAAAAACGTCTTCAGCATCAAAAGCGAGGAGGGGAAAACGCAGTCAGCTTTGCCAATACGGTCACCTCGGGGCGCGGCGGCGGCGTCTTGTTGAAAAAGAAAAAAAAAGGGACGCCCTCAGCACTGACGCCTCATCGCACGTGGAAATGAGTCATGACGAGAAAACGGGGCAGGCGCTGTGGGGGGAAAAATGCATCGACACGCTTCCTGGCATTGCTGAAACAGTGCAACAATTCACTGTTATGATAGGTCGAAGGCATGCGTATATAGGGTTGCGCGAAAGTTCAGCCTCCCGAATGAAACGTGCCGATTATTTAAGCCAATACATTTTTGATGAAGTCAAGATGTCCAGCTGTGCAATACAGTACAGTACTGTATTCTGTCGCCCCAGATTGAGACCAAGTCTAGATTGTAAGTTGATATTCATGCAAGTCCTCGCTTTGATTCTGCGCATCAATATACGAGGACGGCATAATACCCGGAGTTTCTCAATCTGTGCTCCACGGATCCTCAAGAACAATTTGGATTGAAAATAATATGAATTAATGCCGACAGATAATTGCGCGGTACTGTATTTCATGATATGAAGGTTATTTAAGGGAGGTTTTCATTTTTAAAGATTCAAATAAAACTGTACAAGAACATACGATCAACCTCATTACAAAAGTCTTCCTCCATCAAGGTTATTAGAATATTTTGAATTCGTTATTATGTTAACAGAAAAGGTCAGAGAAAAACGCGTACTAATTTAAATTCTTTTTTAAAATACGTTTTCCCCTCCATTTCCTTCGCGAATATAAACTCACTTTGCTAGCCTATTAAATGCGCGGAACAGTTGCTGTAAATAATTAACCAGCAGCCATCATGAAATTTCAAATATGAATGAATTACAGTGAGACAACCCACATGTGGACACCTTGACACGAGGATGATTTGGCGACTCTTGTTTTCCCATGAAAAATTAATTAGAAGGCTCAGCATGTGGACACTGGCTCAAAATATGGACATCGTGGGATAAAATTGCAAGTAAGTTTAAGGCAAAATTACAAGAAAGAGATACTGTATTTCCAAACCTAAAATTGATATCCATTTAGCTAATTAAAAGAATTACCTCTGGCATAGGGGGACTTCCTTCTCTCTGTTTCACTTGAAATGTTTTTTTTTTTACAGAGAATGCCAACATTTCTATGTACTGTGCAGAGGTATCAGCATTCGATACTACAAATGTTCATATTGTGTTGAAGATTGAATCAGTTTCAATTGGGGGACAAAATTGTTTTCATGGAATTATTATGAGTATTTTG